ATCTCCTTGTGGTTGATAGAAACCACCATTTTATCTCTTCAGTTGCATCACAATTTGAACAAAAAAATTAATGAAAGTTTAGTCACTCTATAAAAAATGCCACTTGTATAGCCAGTTTAACCAGTAATGAACTTTGGGTGTACTACACAAGTCTAAAAAAGTTTAATCTAAATACTTAAGTGTGTACAGTTCATCTTGCTCCTACAACTTGCCCTAAAAGTTCCCACAATCTGCATTAATCTGAGTTCTCTGTAATCTACTTTATCTGGATTTCACAGACTTAACAGGAAGAGCAGAAGGAGTGTACTTCTTGAAGCCAGTTCTGTGTAACTTCCTATCTGTCTAACTCCTGAAGCACTAATCACATTTATACTTCCAAAGATATTCACTGCAGTTGTTACTTGAAGACATTAGTAACTTACTGATTGCTTTCACCTATTGCCTGGAATTGCTCTTTAATAGGAATTTATAATTGTTTTATTACATTATTTATGCATTATAATCATTTATACCATTAATAATATCTAAATTATATAGATAGATCGTAAGTACAGTCTCTGCATACATTTGTTTACACAAGATTCACACAATTTTTACCTAGAATTCAGATATTTCAGACATTTTTCCAAGTAGAAATATGAAGTGGGTGCTGGTGTGAATCTTGGGTGAAGTAATTTTTTAAATAAACTGTATATGTATTTTTAATCAGGTAGAATAAACCGCAGCAGCTGCTGAGCACCTGCGCTTGTGGGAACCTCAGCAGCTTGCTGGTGACCTGAAAGTAGCTGTCCTTTGGCAGTGCCTGCCTGTTTCTTTATCTCCTCCTCCTTCCCGGCGCAGGCACAGCCATGGACAGCCCCACTGGCAGAACTACCGGCGGTGCAGCCGGAATGCCCGCTGTGTCCAAAGCTGGGGGATCCCGATTCCTACTGACTGGGGAGGACTGGGCCAGGAGGCAATTGGGGGGTCTGGTCAGGGGGCTGGGGCCCACCAACGGAGAAGATGGAATCCGGGGGCCCAGCAGTGGAAAGGATTTAGGTCGGCTCCCAGCAGCGGACATGGTCTTCCGGTGGAAGAGGACGGGGCCCAGCATTGCTGGTCCAGGCGTGGAGGAGGCCAGGTTCCAGCATCGCCGGTAAGGTGGAGTGCCCCCAGAGCCACTGCAGAAATCCATATGTCACCCGGGTGATATCGACACACAGCCTGGTGAGATGAATTCTGCTTTGGAAACTTGTATTCTCAGAATACATGTCACCAAAGCAGAATACTAGTCTGCCTTGGGGATATGTGTTCTGCTTTGGGGACATGTGTACTGCTTTGGGTCATGTGTCCTGCTTTGGGGACATGTATTCAGTTCTGGTGACATCTGTATTTAGCCCTGGTGACATCTGTATTTAGCCCTGGTGAGAAACTTCCCTAAAATCATCAGTCTGTGTTTTAGAAAAACACAGACAAAACTCCATTTTAATGACAAATGCCATTCAAAGTACAAGTACTTGCCGATACCAATTACCAATACTTTTAGAGACATTACATTTTTTTCTAAAACTGAAGAGAGTATCCTGCTGCACTCCTTACTGGATCAATAGATGTCCTGTATATAAAGGCGGGTGCTTGTGCTA